TTTTCTTATGCCTGGAATTAACAGCAATAAATATTTTTTGTATTGATTTGTTTACTTTTGTTCCAGATTTTCATTAAAGTTATGTAATCTTGTATCATAAAATTAAATATATTAATGAAAATGTATAATTAGTTTGTTCTTGTAAACAAATTACAATGAGTAAATAAAATTTCTTACTAATTCATTTATTAGTGATAATTAATTTATTATCTCTTTGTGATACAGTCTACAAAGAAAATTTAGTGTCAATGTGGGTATTGTGCAATAGGAAACCATGTAAATCATATTTATTGATAACTTTTTGATAAAATCATCTATGTACAGAAATACATAGGATGATCTGTATCTATAATATTGTTTGTTTAATAACTTGAAACTACCAAGCCAACTACCTATTTAGTTTTGCTATTTAACATATTTTATTTATTTATTTCTCGCGCTGAAATAGACTGCCATTACTGTTTTCTTCTTTTGTCACACGTAACGTTTTTCTTTTGGCTTTTTCATAATTTAACGATTCATTATAATAAATAAGGAAAAAAGCCGCTTGAATCGAAATTAACGTCGCCATTAATATATTCTTTATATTAAAGATTCATTAATTAGTACAAATTCACATACATGATGTACGATTTTTGTACACGATCTTCGAAACGTCATTTACAATACAAATGAAAAAACTTCAGCAGCTATTCATGATATAACATCGATTCCTCGAATTGTATACACAAGCGTGCATAAAAGTTAATGAAATAAAACGAAAATGAATTATTGTTATGACATAGCTTCGCTTTTTGTACAGTTATTGAATATTCAATGTGGAAAACGTTTCCAATGCACTGTCTTGAAATCAGTACCACTACGATGGAATTTTTACTTGATGTTGCTTACATCGTGTTATAAATAATGTTTCATAAAAAGGAACGAAGTAAACTGATTTATTGAAAACAATCTGATGATGAAAATCCTTATAAAATTGGGCACGGATGGAAGATTAATAAATCAATTGATTAATATCATCAATTGTTCGCCAATTATTCAAATAAGAAGTTACTACGGTGTAATGCAATATTTTAAGAAAAACTTGAAAAGTGTTATTCTCAATACATATCCAGAACACATGGTTTGCGACAAATCATGAAGGAACGTAGTTTCAGAAGATTGTCATGATTATACGTATAGTTAGCAAAGAAACTAATTTTTCGTATACCAGTGGAATAATTTGTGTGATGCTTCTTTAACAATAGGATTACGGAACGCATCAATTTAACGCATATTGAACTTTATAAACATTTAGGAAATGATTACATTTTATTTATTTAGATTACCAACTGTCTAATTTTGAATATCTAATTTCTAAGATTTAAATTAAATAAAAACGCGGACAGCAATGTTTCTAGAAATGATAGAATAAACTCTATACTAAATGCCCGTAAATCTAGAGTTAATCGTCGCCTAACATAAATTTTCCAATAAAGAGACCAACATTTTCTGTTTTAACATTTTCAATTCTTCTACCATCTGTTAGACTTTTTAACCTTACGCATGTTTTGCTGACCTGAATTCTTTTTGCAGCGAACTGAATATAATAAACTAAAATGTATTTATATCGGGACCGTCACTATAGACAGTGAGCCTATGATGCGTGAAGTGCCATTGATAGTGATCGAGCGGGTTGTTTCCCAAGAAAGATCGATTAACGTTTTCTAGCTACATCTATACCATCGAAAATATGCGAATAACAGAAATACTAGAGACTGTCTCCAAAATGGCATTGTCCGTGTTGGCTGTAGGGTAAAACCGGATTGTAATCAGAGCTTGCGACGTGATACGCTGTCCACCTTGAAACACTTTGCTTAAGAATACACGATACAATTACAAAATTAATGCAAATCGTATTATCATTAATGATATTATATAAAATGTCATTGAAAATGAAATAAAAATAAAATTATAAATACTGAAGACTGTCTTAAAAATGATATTGTTCGTGTTGGTCATAGCGTAAAACCAGAATGTAATCGGAGCTTGCGTCACGAAACGTTATTCTCATTGTACTGCGATGAGTGCATGGTCGTTGTAGGAGAAGAGAAAACAATCTTGAAGGACTTAGGCTATCAGGTGCCATAGAAAGCCCCAGTGGCCCAAAAACCGTTAGTTGAAGATCCAAGCACTGGGCACTGGGATTCAGTATCGCGAACGATGCTATTGAGGTACCTGATGGCTCCCCATTGTATCCAGTCTTACTCATATAATGGGGTCTGAGAGCGGACATTCCATATATTCTGTATTAAATACTCATCGGATTCATATGAATACAAATGCAATCAACATTAAATAAAGTACTAATGACGGGAAAGTTCATGGAGGTTTTTCAGCTAGCATCAGACAGTCTATTAAACATAACGATAATACGTAACACTGAGGTGTTGCATGCCCTTTTTGATAGTGTGCTGGGTGTAGGAATCTATAATCAGTCTGAAAAGAGAAAGAATTCCTAAAATTCGAAAACCTAAAATTCATAGAAATCAAAATCATAGAAAGAACCGCAAAGAATTGATGAAAAGCAGGGTGCGCAGGTACAATTTTGTTGCAAATACTCCCTTAAAGTCAAGTAGTATGGTTCAAGCACCGATAGCTCACAAAACTGGTTGTACCAGTGACATTGACACTATAGTAAGTTAGGAGGCGACTGGTGCCAGCAGACAAGGGTCTTAAAAGGACGATGAATACATGATCAGAAGTCATGAAAGGAGCAGACTATTCTAAGACATCAAGAATTTTGATGATGCGATAGTCAGTGATAGGAAGGTAGCTATTGTATCTTTCAACTATCCAGTATCACCGAGGAGTGGTTGAGGAACAAAGAGTTGATAATGCAGATGGCATTGGGAAAAACTTACAGTCGGTGAAAAAATTTCAGAGTTGAGGGCCCTAGAGTTATGTAGGCATAGGCAAGAGCAGAAGTCTGACGAAATGAGCGATTCTGTATCTGTATCTATGGATTTTCTACGTTTTTATAATCTTGAACATAAAAAAACGCAAAATAAAATAATGACGTGAATGTAGAAAGTTTATATAGTTTCTTTTTTATTTTATTTTGCGTTTTTTTATGTTCAAGATTATAAAAACTTAATGACGTGAATGTAGAAAGTTTATATAGTTTCTTTTTTAAGTTTGGGTAACGCTAAAGGGACGTTCCCAAATTCATCTATGTATTCATTTGTTTAGATCTTTAAAACTGAACGGTTTGACAATCCGACTACTGATTCGTAATGAACAACATTAACATACATGTAACTTATTTGCAAAATTAAAATTTTATCAAGTCTTCAAATATACAACGTGTTGTATCTACATATATGAATATTTGGGAAACTGAATCATTATTTTCATGAAAAAATGACGATCCTCTAAAAGTTAAAGATTGTCGAACGTATCCTGTGCAACTGCCTGAGTACAAGATGTCGGTACAAAGAGTAGAGTCCTGTAAGCGGGAAGAGATAGCGATGATGCTGGAAATTAGTGTAACATGTACCAGTTGCCCCTTGGGGTAGAACTAGAAATCAGAGGATATCGTTCCTTATGAGAAAGATCAGGTCTAAAGAGCAATCCCAGAGTTAGCTAAGCTCGAAGTCCCAAAGGCAGGACCATGAGGGTTACTGCTATGCAGCAGGTCCAGGGGGATGGTATCATGAAGGGAATGCAAAACATCCTGATTAATGTTCCACTTTAGAGAGGAAATGGAAGTACCAAAAAATGGGCTTTCCCATCCACGCAAGTGAGAATAAGATACAATTATTAAATAATCTTACAGTTTTAAAATTCTTGCAAAACTTGCAACACCGTGAAGAAACTTATTCAGCCGAAGCAACGGAGATTTCTAATTCCCTCGTGAAAACCGGCATTAAGAATTATATACTAATAAGAATAATCTGAATGAGACTGTCTTTATAAAAGCGCTAGAATAAACTTGCTACACTTTCAAAGAATGCTTTTCGTAATTTTAGTCATATTTTTGTAAATAAGCAGAAATAAGTAACAGCAGTGATATATATTGTTTGTAAATACTCACTAATAAATAATACCTAGTTTCACTTGCAATATGTAAATATATTTTAGCAAGTGTAATCTAATTACAACTAGTATGCCACATCTCAAACCCTGCTCCAGGTATTTTATCCACAAAGTTTCTTCAGTTCAGTGTAATTCTTTTGAAATTGACATTATGTTTCACATTTGTACGTATAATGATGTAAGTGCGAGATAGTACGTGCGAATCAGGTGCGACCAAACTCAAGCTGACGTGCTAGGTTTTGAAGTACGTGTGAGAGAGGGGATGATTCGCGAGTACGCGAAACAAAGGCAGCAGTAGATATCGAGATCGTAACATTACTGTCACGCTTGTACGCTGTCACCAATATTTGTGCATCAGTGCGTGTAATAAAGATCGTAATACGTTAATACATTTTTCTTCATAACTTCCGTTTACTGCATGTTAAGTGTTTAAATGAAACATAAGTTTCACACGTGCTCATTAGATGGAATGACGGAAATTCCTGTTTTCTCTGTTACAAGCAAACAAAAAACGTGAAAACACTTTCTTGGTACTTCAATTTTCTTCCTTCGTTTATGAATATTTTAAAAAACATTTACTGTCTATAGACATTTTATAAACATTTACTTTTGGTTTATATTTTAATATTCATGTAGGTAAAAATACTTTGAATATGTACTAACGAATTTTAAAAATGACAAGGATAGAAGTTTTCCAACTTTCAAATTAACCAACCAGTTTTTCAGACTCATTATTAAGTTGCTAACGAACCAATTGTAAACAAATCTCTGATATTAAATTATACGCATAATTTTGAGTATTGTAATTACGCAACAATGTTCTGATTTAAAGCAAAATTTATGTAAATGTGTTTAAATTGATACACTGGAACACGGTTATTTTGAAATAAAATATTATGTTAATGATCCGCATATCTACCTGCAGTGATAATCCCCGTGCTTAAATACTTAACCGTGCAATTGGCGAAAATGGGTTTTCTTATCGATCAACGAGGATTAACGGACACTCGGTTTACGTCCTCGTATAACTTCATTATTTTATCCTATTTTCCAATTGAGTTCATGTACCTGCTAAAATTACGAACACAAATTTATTCGATTATTATCTTTCTGTGGGTTTACAAGAAATACGAATAAATATACAGAAGCAAACTCGAAATTAAATACATTACAGTTTAAAATCATCTACAATATTATGATTATACGGGACAGAAACATTGTAATATAGAAACAAATTAATTCGCTAGGAATAAAAATGAAAAACATAAGACATTGTTTTTTATCAGTACTTATTATTTAACATATTAATTTTGACGACAAGAAAACTGCATTCATATTGGAATGGTAAGTTTTAAATTCCCCAATTATTCAGCGCGTATGAGTACACACGCACATTCATTTTTCCTCTATATAACTGTTTCAAGGTCGCTACAGAAAAGTAATATTTTTAATTACAAATTAACATGCACATCATTACATAATTTTAAGAATAATTTCTTATAACATACAATTATTTTATGTAAAACTCTTTTGATAATTCAGTTTTCATCTTTCAAATAAAACAAGTTCTTTAGAATTTAATTATAGTATTGATTTAGATTACAGATATTCTAAACCTTGTCCAAGTTCCGTCAGAATACAGTCGTTTAGTTTTTTATATAAAAAATTTTCAACAACTTTGTTCGTTTTCAAATTTATTGATTTTCATTTCTTAGGTAAGAGTAGTTTCGAGGGAACGTGTTCCCCGGTGTTATCGGGAACCTCCCCGGACAGTCACGACTTAAATAAGACTAATGCGTTCTGTCAGGCTCCCTTGAGAGTACATTCTGAATTAATTAATCTAACAGTGAAAAGCGTTACGTCATTGGAACAATGTGAAGTATGGTGAAAAAAATAACCGCAAAATTTCTGTTTAGCGAAGAAGGCTGCGGTGTAAAGATGAGTCAACCTTTTGCCTTGCGATTATGTAAGACTGACTGACCTTTAGGTTCGTTCATGGCATGCAGCATTTACGTAATTTACCGATTACTGATGTATTAGTCTTCTGAACCTAGAAACTAGTTCTTCTTCTCATTCTAATATTTTTAAGGTACGCTAAATATATGTTCCGGCTGGATTCGATAATGTATTCGCTCTTTGATAGCGATCCTAGCTTTTAATGAAACTATAGTGGAATATAGCAGTACTACACACGATCCTTTTTTAGTAATTGTATTGTTTTACCGTAGAAAACCAGGATTCATTTTGTAAACTGAGCACACAGTGTTCAGACTGTGGTCTACAGTATAAGTAGTGTCAAAGTGAGGTGTAAACGTCTCCTTCCTTCTCTGCTGCATGTATGGTAACGGTTGTTAATGAACCAACATGACAGTAATGTCATATCATATTTATCCTTTCAGTATACCGTCTGCGGTTATCTATTTATACGTATTACGCATAATGCAGTTTCAGTTACAAAATTACTTTAATTTAAATATTGTATTTTAAACGTTAGACTTTTTAGGAATAGTTGTACAAAGATCAGTTTTTTTATCATTTGCATTTTTCATTTATTACTTGTTAGCTTACTATACGAATATGTCAAGAAATCGTAGTGTAAAACCATATTTGCTATGGAATTTTATTTATCATTTACATTATAAACGTTTCTTGGAGATACATATTATGAACAGTATAAGGTAATTAGAAATGAATGTTTTGTTCCTCCCTTTTGTGTTCTTAAAAAAACAGATATTTTATTTACAAGTAATCATTGATTGCTATTTAGCCATTTATAGTTGCTCACAAGTGTATTTAAATATAATAAGAAATTTTTTTATAATGAATATTTTTATTTCGTAATAATTCATTCTACTTGTAAAAATTCCATTAAAGCATACAAGTTTATCATTCGACTAATTTTTTATTTTTGTTTTATTGATTTAATCATTTATTTATAGGATATAATGAGGCGTCGAATATATATGTGACCTTGTTTAGAAAATTTAATGTCAGCTGATATTACAGAAAATATTCAATAAATGTAAAATGAAAGTCCCCTTGAATAAAGTATATCTTTTACACTTTTTATATTTTAAATACTTCTTATTTTTCTCATTAATAAATAAGTGTCTAGATGTGTAAACTGTATTTGGATTGTAAATTATATGTATTTTACGTAAAAAAATAGAAATTGGAGTATTTAAAAATTAGAAAATTAAATATTTAGTATTTGAAAATTAAATGGATTTATTAGTACTAAGCGTATCGACATTTTATGTATATTTATTTCTACTGTAACCAGTGAAATACTTACGTGGTTACAAAATGAGGGTGAACAAATTAGGAGATAAATTTTTCTTAGCGGAAACAGGAAGAAAAGGAAATATAAAAATTAAAACACTAATTAATCGAACAATATAGGGACTCATACAAATTTAAATGAACGAAGGAAAAAGCCGGTTGTTTGACCTGTTACGGTACGTTTAGTGTTAAATAGTGTTGCCTTCGAATTATCATAAATACTCTTTGTAGATTTCTATATTGTAATATTTAGTGTAAAAAATTAAAGTTTTACTAAAAAATAAGAATGTTTAATATATGAGTACCTACAAAATCATTTAAATAGGGTATGTTATGCCGCGTCCCAGTATGGCCAATGAGCAGCCGTGTGCAAGCAGAAAGGTACGTGGGGACTTGATTGTTTCTTTATCTTTGACAGTCTGGTTTGCTGGAACGAAGGTGGTGGATTTGTGATGAGTTTTCTGCGTTTGAAGTAGAATTTAGGACAAAATAAATTATTTTCTTGTGTAATTCGCGTGAATATACATTAGAAAATGGATGATGTTTTAGAAGAGGTTGTTTCTTCTGAAGATTTAAAGGTAAGTTATTCTAAAGAAAAATGGATCCGGAAATTATTTATAGTTTGTTTACGTTTTACATGTATATTTTAAAGTGATAAAGTGCACGAAACATGATACAATATTATAATTTAAGAATTGTTTTGTACTGCAATATCAAATTCTGGGTAGGGTGTGTAGTTAGATATGACGTTCAACTATTTTTAGAGGTTATGTAGTATTAATATAACATTCCCCAAGTCTTAAATTTTTGATCGTCACCAGTGTTTTATAGAGCCAAAAGCAGCAATTTAATTTGCAATAAAAATTTTTATGAAACATGTTATCTAAAAAAAGTGATGACACCAGAAACTGAATATTTTATAGTTGTATATAGTTATACAGTTTAAGTTATTGCATCATAAATTATAAGTATACTTATTTATGTAGCATATATGTGATACGTTCCCATACATACATATATATACATATACATATATATTTATATATATATATATACATGTATTTCCAGAAATTTGAACTTATATACCATGAACAATTGCTTTCATCGCTATTAACACAAAAAGCGCAATTTGAGTATGCATGGTGTCTCGTTAGAAGTAAATATCCTGCTGATATTCGGAAAGGAATTATTTTGATGGAAGATCTTTACAACAAACAGTCAGATATCGAAAGACGAGATTGTCTTTATTATTTAGCCATTGGAAATGCTAGAATAAAGGTAGTGTATAATAATTTAACCAAAGTTTCATTTTTAATTGAATGTTAATTAATCCTGTATTATATTTACAGGAATACACAAAGGCTTTATCATATGTTAGAGCATTTCTTAAAGTTGAACCTGGAAATAAACAAGTGCAGCATCTGGAGACACTGATCAAGAAAAAAATGGAAAAAGGTTTTCTTTTTATAAATTATTATTGGCTTTTACAGTTAACACTTATTGTTCATTCTGGTTTATTGCTTTTACGGTCAACGTATAATAACATTAAATACTCATTTTATTTTATATTACTTTTAGTCGTATTATTATTTTCATGGGTTGGTAGTTACTATATTTCTTTTGATTGAAAAGCTATCAATAGCAGTTTAATCAAATCTCTTGTGCCTTGTAACGTATACACAATGTGTATTATCATAATTAGTATTAAACGATCTCCATATCAGTATTATGATATTTATCACACTATGAAAGTACAAATAATGTAAGTCTGTACATGTTTATATGTAATGAGAACATATTGCATTTTTTATTGCTATTTGTAGTAATTTATTTAGCACAGAGTTGTGTCAGTTGTACATTAAAACATTTTAATAGTTGATATATACCACTGGATTTCTATCTGACAGAGAACGTTACGTCTATACGTTTTGTATTATAATCTTGAATCGACCAAATGTTTTATTGTTTTAGTATTGCGGTTTCTACTTTTTCTGTCTTTTCTCTGTAAGTGTGTTCAATAAATATAGTATTATGAAAAGAATTCTTTTAATGCCTTGGTGTGCTAACTCTTTCTATTGTGATGTCGTATTTAATTTAGTAGAAACATGAGTTTAATATCCAAAGTGAAAAATTTTAGGGTTGTATATTGTTATTAGTATTATATGTTTTTTTTTACAGAGGGCCTCTACGGTATGGCCATTGCAGGAGGGGTTATTATTGGTGTTGCAAGTATTCTTGGCCTTGGTCTCGCAATGAGCAAAAAGTAACTGTGTATTATAAAATTTTCTGTGTACTCATTTTTTTAAAGAAAAGAGGCAATTTCCTAGTAATATATTACGTTAATTTATGAAAAATGCATTCCGAGTGTTTTATGTTTGGCTGTTTGACTGCTTAGTGTATAGTTGTAACCAAAAATATATATTAAATATGTATATTAATGTAAATTATATATTAATATATATATTTATCTACTTATTTAATAAATGTTTGCTTATACTATAATAATTTCAGTATATATATCGTTTGTACATACAGATGAAAGCATTGTACGACTCTATCTACATGTATTGATACCAAAATTTTTATGGAAATAAATGTGTTATATCTGATTGATATCATTCATGTACCAAATTTGTATTATATACACGCGCAACCGAAGACATAATGTTCCATAATCATTTCAATCCATTTCCCGGCCTGTCAATCATCGGTTCTTGACACTGAACTAACGCATCAGTCACAGCTGACTCACAGCGAATTAAATCTACCAGAAGTCGTAGCGTTGACCATTTTAATGTTTCAGTTTAGTTATATAACGTATAATTATTCTCATTCATGATAATTGTATATATCGCTGAAGAGATGTGATCATTTTAGAGAAACGCAGCAGTCGAACGTGTTAATGAACACATGCAATGAGTTTGTTTTCGTAAAAAAATTATAATCACCGAATTAAATCTCTTGTCAGCTCTTGTGTGCTAAAATGATCCACTTATTATCTCACACTGATATCATTCTCGAGGAATATGACGGTGGTGGGGTTATCGTGGAGAAAAAGAAAACGACGTGACTAATACCTTTTATATATAGATTTATTGATGACTTCTTAATATCCGTTGATAAAGTTGTTTATGTACAAAATAACGCAGGATTATCCCTATAATATTATTATATTTAATGACCTATGTTATGGCCCAACGACTCGTTGAAACCTCCGTCTTCCCGGTTCGGTTTCGTGAGTCGACATATTTGCTTATTCTTTACGCCAAAATACGGAGCGCCGCTACTATTTTTATTTTCCACGAGCGCGTCGTGTTTCCTTCGGCCTTCGTTCCCTCTCGTCTTCAATATTATTTACAGTCTCGATCAGCCATCGTCAGTGATCGATTGCAACCGCCGAGAGAAAGAAAGCCGCCAGAATCGGAACCGCGCTTCCCGTTAATATATACTTTATATTAAAGATTCAATAAATGGGAGAAAATCGTATAGGCGATGAATGATTCTTACACGCTATCTCGGAAATCTATTTACAACGGAGTCTAAGGAGACTCTGGCTGCCGCCCACGGTATAGCATCGATTCCACGAGCGGTGTATTCGAATAAAAATAAAACGAAAAGAATTTATCGTTACGATACAGCCTCGCCTTTTGTACAGTTATTGAAAATTCAAGGTTACACGCGTTTAACAGTCCATGTTGTAATCGATACGATTACAATGGCGTTTACTCAATATTGTTCGGGTGCACTGAACAGTGTCCTACAATGAGAAACGTATACATTTTCCGAATGTTTATTTTTCTACCTTTCAACCGAACAGAAGAGGTTAACTTGTTGGACGATCCTCATTTTAAATACGTATCTTATTATTTGACCGATATGTGGTAATTTTTGAAAAGATATGAGACGATCTGATGAAAGCCGTTTATGCTCTGCGAAAGTAAGTACGGTTAAAAGGTTTACATGGCAGTGGAAACAATCGATCAATATCACCAATCGTTCAAGTTCAAATAAGAAGATTGTGCTGTGCAATGGAATATGTTTAGGAAAATTTGAAAAGTGCTATCCGTGGGTTGTATCCTTAATACTCGGAACTCGGGTTCGCTCGGTTCGCGGAAACGAAGCACGGAGGAGCGCAGTTTCCGAGGATTCAGACATCACGACGTTACTTAGTATAGGAATTAATTATTCGTATAGAATTAGCAGCTTGAAAATACTTTAAGCAGTTTTTAAGGATGTATATTGCTTTCTCAATAAGGCTCCGCTATGCTTTACACGAATGTACAATCCCATCGTACATATGCTCGGTCTTTTGGGGTGTGCGGGTAGTTCCATATATCGGGTACGCGATTTTCTAGTTGGATCGGATCAAAAAAATTCGACGGGACTCGTGAAACTTTCGATTTAGGAGTTTGAGTATAGATTTTATTACGTTTATAACATGGTTTTTGCTATACTCAAATTGTTCAAATAACCGAGTAAAGTTTGAAATAATATAATTATAATATAATTTATGCACAGCAAAAATAAAATTTGTAACAGATTTACTGCGAATGTACTCCATAGTTTCAAAACATTTTGTTTTTACTTGTAAATCAAATTTCAGCTCTTATTTATATCTTTCTTGTGTATTTATAATGTTCATATTCGTTTTGCATGAAACAGATTGATGCAATTTGTGAATTGACCTTTTTTGGCCCGACCCGAACTCGTACTTTCGAGTATCCGGCACATCCCTTTCGATCGTGTTTGCCGGCTGACGGTCCGATCCGAAATTTCACTTCTTTTCATTTGTATGTCTTTTTTTATTTAAAATTGTGTTCTCTCGCTCAATCCCTGTTACGCCGCTGGCTTCGTGAAGCCCTGTGAGCCCTTTTAGTCTTTTTGAAATTAGAAACGATTTTGAATTCGAAGATCGAAGAACTGGAATGGACACCGAAGTCAACCGCTAATATCTACCAAGACTAGCTAGAGTTCGTCATTTTGGACAACTCGTTCTTTTGATTATGCGATCGCTATTTTATCTTTTTTTTGCTGTTGTTTCTTAACACTTCATCAGCTGCTTTCGTTCATGTAAATCTGTGGTCTCAGTCACACCTGAAGCTTACACCAAGGAATTCAATTTCTTGTTTATTCGGTTTCAACTGAATCCCCGGCGAGCATTTAAATCTATCCAGACAAAAACATAGCTTGTTGATCAAGTTTTTTCGTAGATGACGTTTAACAAAATAACATGTTTCAATAATACTCTTCAGTTTGTTTACAATGGCGAACTTTTTTCTTATGTCTTTCTGTTGATTTATAAAATAATATAATTCGTTTGCAAATGGAAATTAGCTAGAGTTTGCAAAAAGTCATAAGTTTACGTCAAAGGCAACCACATATAGTTTGTAAAAGGATGTTATGTGTCCGTACTAAGGCAAAACAGCGACCTGACCTTGTGAGACGTTGGAAGGTCATTATGCTACATATGGATTATGCATTTATGTTGTTCGTATAATTGCAATTTTTGTTAGTATATTTATTTTAGTTGGCGTTTAATTTTCCATTATTAATACTATATTTATAAATTAATTTTCATTCTACAATTTTTTGTTTATTTCGTTAATGTCATTAAAGTGGCTAATAATTGATTTCACTGATACGTTTATAAACAATGCAGAGAATTTAAAAATTGGGATTAAATTGTAAGCTTTCAAGTTGAACACTTATTGTGGCTATAGTAAAATTTTCTATTATCCAAATTCCGTTTAAACTATCATTTTGCGATATCAATCATTTTACAAAAATATAACAAAGCATTTGGAACTTTACAATTGTGTAGAATCCATTTAACCTTCTGCAATTGAATTCTTTCATATTGTATTGGACAGAGTTGTTTCCTCTATTTATGATCAATTTTATAAAAAAATATTCGAAATCTAATGATACAATAATTATTATTTCCCTCGAGACGCCACGGTCCTATGCAAATTTTATCGAAATGAGTTTCACTGAAAACAAATCTGCAATAAAATAATGTGAAATAGTGTAAGAACGTTTTCAAGTTAATAAGTCGTTTTAATGGTAGAGCATTCGTGTTCGATTCCACCACATCGTTTTCGTTGGAAAATAAGTCAGAAACTGACCCAACTTCGAAACGTTCTAAGCTGTAAAACTCGCAATCGAACCCTGCAGTCGATAAAGTGTTAAAAAAGGGAAGAGGAAAACCACTACGACACACTTGGCTCCCCTAGAAAGTAGAAGGTAGAAAGAAAAAGGAGAATTGAGATAGCGCAGGGATAGTTCTACGTCTATGATCCCGAAAGAGACGGTCAGCGTTAACGGAAAGCACTTCGATCGATGGTTTGCAGGAAACTACTTCGAAAAGGTACCACGAAACTAATGAGAACTCTAATTCGTCTCTCGCGTGGGAAAGGAACGTGGGTGAATCGTGTGCATAGATACGATTTGGGCGCCGTGCGATCTGACGCATAATACTAGATACATCGTACGATATAAACGTAAGTCGATTTCAAGAAATGATAGGCCTTACAAACTATCGGCATTCAATTTTGTACAATCATTTAATATTCGCGACACAGTTCATTTACTCGATCACACTCTACACTTACTTCACCTTATCTTTCTTTCTCTGTCCCTTCGTCTTCGTTTCCCTTTTCAACCTGTGTCGATTGACTAGCAATACGATACGATGCAATTAATTCATTCTTCCCCGCAATCGCTTAGCACGACAATCATATCGTAAAATATAGAATTTTCTTCTGCCGAACCTATACCGTAACGGAGTATAATATTCTTTCTTCTTTTTTTTCTTGTCTACGACACTCGACCCCGACATGTACAATTACAATATACTTAATTACAATCGGACAATCTCTAATTTAGGTTCCTCCGGTGCAATGAACATTCGCAGGTTCGATCGCCGAAAACACAGACGGACACACACACACGGTGATCGGATTTGTTTCTCCGCTGATTCCCTGTTTCCTCGTTCTCAGTTTCTTTTTGCCCTCCATATTTCTCTGTCCCCTTTCGCTCGAAAACTCTTACGTTTCTTAAAAAATAACATCTGATATACTTAGAGCTGCGTCTTATCACTAGGTATCGACTTAACTTGAATGTACTCGAATGTACTCGAGCGTCCCGAGCGTCCAGCCGGGAATCCGTCGGATAAAAACTGAACGGTTTCTCGGTTATACGACAAAAGTGTTGCGTGCGCGCCGCGGACACGTTTCATCGGGTCTGATTATAAATTCCGCGAATCCTGGCTGATAGAGTTCCGACGTGTGATCGATTGATGAAACGAGTTCACGGTGCAACGGGTTTCATAGGACACTCTGCGCCCGAGGCTGAATATCGAAACGAATCTCGGGCCCGCTGATAAAAAATAGGTACGCACCGTGCTTATTTAACACTAAACGTACCGGTAGGTTATATATAACTATTCTTATCGTAACCGATCAAATCACTGGTTATGAAAAAAGACAAACAAGTCAGATAATACACTTAATCTTGTGTTACGCGATAGATACGTTCTGTGTGTTGGAGCTTACAGAACAATAGAGTTTAGTTTCAGACCTAAGAAGAAAACAATACGATGAAATTCATATTATAATTTGGATGATCGTGTTAAATCGAATCAAATCGTGTAAAAAGAAAATAAATGTTTCTCTAATTCATAACAAATCAAACAAATTGCATCAGAGGAGAAAATTTTATTTTAAAGTATAACAATTAATAACGGAAATCTAATATTTATTTTGAACTCAAGATAATTGAGATTTATTTACTTTTGTTAATTTCAGTTTAAGATCTTCGCCGTATATCTGATGCGACATTGTATATGAAGGGGTTAAACCAAAATGGTGTAAGAAAAGAATAATTCGTGTTAGATCAAAATTGTATAAGAAGAGGAAAGTAATTTGTATTAAATGAAAATCAGAATCAGAAAGACTAAAACGGAATCTCTGACTAATTGAACAGTATAGGAATAGACAAATGAACGGTATAAGTATGCACTTTAAATCATATTATAAAATCGATTGTTTAACCGGGCGTGGTTCGTTTAGTGTTAAAGACAACGCTTGGTACAAACGTTACGAGCTCGACGCGACGTAGAAACGAACGTTCCGGATTGGAAAACAACGTTAGGAAAGAACATTATAAATCACTTAGCGTAAAAGAGATAATAATTTCGGACTGATCTTGCATGGAACTCTCTTCCGTTAGCGCATTTCGACGCCGGTCACTGCGAAACTAAGCGCGCTGGAATTTTTAAGCGTTAAGTGTACAGAGAGTAAAAAATTGTCGATACAAAATTGTTCTTTTCAAATGAACGCTTAGTTCGGTGTTTAACGTTGATTACATTTTCGATTTGACAAAAGAACGAAGAGTTGAAAGAAATGGACTTGGCAAACGAACTGATCTCTCACAAAACGTTATTAAAGTGACGTTAATAAATAAAATGATCTTTTAAACCACGTATTTTTGAAAATGAAATGACTGTATGTGACGTTATAGAAAAATATGAATCGATTGTGGTTTTAAGTAATTTTAAATTACAAATATTTCACTGTGTGTTCATGGAATTATATTTATAATAGTCAATATTCACGTTACGTATTTTCAATGTCCTCCTTAAATGAGTTTTTACAGAAAGAAAAATTAGAAATGCGGTGTTAGGTTCATTACACGCTCAAGTTTTTCAATAAGTTTTAAGCAAGATGATCTTTGCTTTTGATTATGTCAATTTCAATGTTAATTCAAGAATTTTACCCTGTATTGATACTGTGGCAGCTAGATTTCTTGCTAGCCTTCAGTAGTCTTGTTAATTCTTAGTAGTCTTAATATAAGGATGACGATATAATAATGAAATATAGTAACAAGAGCATCAATTCATATAATTGTTTATATCTTTAACAACCTTGTGTGAGAGAACGGTACGCCTGTAATAGATGCAATACAGGTATTTGAACTTTATGTATACTTTTTATACAAAATAGAAATAAAATTAGAACGTAAATTTCTGATCTCGAAATTAAAATTAATTGTACAAGAGGATTTTTAAATAGGCCTCTTTCGATACAAATAAAAGTTTCTTGTTTTCACGCATTGTATACAACTTACAAAGATCCATACACTATGTATTTATTTGCAGTTGATCGTTTGTGCTTTGAACGCGTGCAATTATCTGAAATCTTGCATACCTTCAATTTGCATCTCATTTTGATCGTAACTTGATTCGAAATCACGATTTCAAATAACTGCACACCACTGTCTATTTAAACGACAGATTACGATTAACCTTCTGTTAAAATTATTTCTAATATTTTGCGAAATGACGATTCTTGTGAACACAGAGGGTGTCAGAATATTTCGATCGTGTCAAAATGTCAATTGTGTCGCTGATCGGTTGTTACATTAATCGCTTTCGGATAAATGGTCGTCGTTAATTAATAAGAAAACAATTACATTGAAACGAAAAACGTCATAGCGTTTTGTACAATTCAGACAATAAATTTATTTAATACAATACTAAATACATTAAGTAAAAATTACCTTATTAAAAAAGATCAATGATTTAACGAAAGACATTTTCTTATATTTTATAATAAATACTAAAGTATTTTTTAAATCTTATCGAATATCAATTTAGGTACTTTATTAAACGAGTTAAGAAACTTGAATTCTTTCTGACGTATAAACTACTACCTGTCTACGGTGGCAGTAAAAGAATCACGTTGACAAAATTATTGCTCTAGGGTCAATATCTAAGTTTTGCCTCAACGAGCAATCCATTATCTCTTTAATAAAATGACAATGTACTTATATTTCTTTATTTTTATGGCAACAAACCTGAAATTGGTTCTAGAAATACTTACGTACATGTCTATTATATGAAAAATTATTATCACTTAGGTGGTTTTACAAAAGTGATTGGGTGTTAAGTCGTGTTAACAAATTGTTCACTGTTGCAATGTGAAATACTTTAACAGAATCTATTCTACATGCCCTCTTTAATTATGTATAATAATTTAATCGAAACTCTTCCGTTATTTTTATCTCATCGACTAACAACGTCCATTCTTCGCGAAGCAACGGTTTCCATTTATTTTTATCTTCCACCACATGGTGCTTTTGGAGTCGTATACGAAATTAGACTGTCGAGTGTTCGTTAAAATTGCCAATATGGAAGAGACTGTTAGAGAGGGGTGTATTCCCTCAAGCGATGTATGCTCGCAGAATGTTCTATTCTCAGAATTCCATTTTAACAGTCAATATGTGCATTACTTCACGCTTAAAATATAATATATTGCTTGAAATATTTTTCTTAGGCTATCTGAATAATGTATGTGAATAAAAGTCATTTCAATGCTTTATTTTAGCAAGAAAGGGTTATTAAAAATAATTATATTACATTCACTCTTTGCAGATAAAAGTTATTTAAATTTCTAAAAACTCTCTCCATAAACAACTGAATTACAACTGAATGTCTTAAATATTAGAAGAGAAAAAAAATCACATATTAATCTCTCGTTATTTGAATAATTAGATTATTTAGTTGCAACTTTCGATTTTAGATATCAGAGCTCGCAATCGCCATTACAACAGCATTCGACTGCAACGATTAAAATATCAACGCAACGCTGTTACCGATTAAATCATACAAATCTGAAAACATATAGTTAACCCGTTTATTTAATTATTATTCCGAAATTTGTTGATGTGTAGCATACTTTGGGTTTTCAAGTTTTATAATTGGTTAATAATAAAGGATAATATAAACAATTTTAACCAAAATAAATTATAAATAACTCGATAAGTTAACTATCCGTATGCAATCGGTTATACATGTTCTAAACTCGATAATACAAGGCAGGTCGTACAATTAGAGCTCTGATGCAAATCAGTTAAGGCTTGATTCACACTAGCAGCCAACGGTACAGTCGCAATTAGTCACGACCAACGATTTTACTGAAACAATTACATTCAACGATCAAAACCAATAAAATTCCGTCAATATATGTTTCACTTCTGTTTACACGCTTGAGAAAAGAACAATAGTTTTTCAATACAATTTAAGACCAGAACTGCTGACCCTTTGATACGATTAATATGCAATTGTTATAAAAATTGTAGGAATATATATATTTTCTCAGTTTCTCCATGTATTTATTATAGTAGTCAAGCGAAACTTTTTCAAAAACCATTTTGGATATTTAACATTTTCAAAATATCAATAATTGCGAAGTGAAACTGAAACCCATTATTTTGACGGATGCGATACTCGATAAAAATTTATTTTACTCAATCTTGGATAAATCCAATGTTTCACAGTCGTTGCGAATTTTTTACTTTGCACCTTACCTAGTTAATTTTCATCCATATTTTCATTTTACGCGAGTCACAATATCTTCTGTGACTAAACTTATACAATTCAATTTTCCCAGACAAATTTGATTAACTGCTCGTCAACCATGGTCGTATTTGGCCGTCAACCGCTGCTGATCAGATCAAATCCAGCGAAGTTAGTGAACGGCCAATAAATTTTGATTTGACTTGACCGTACCAACTGCGAATGCTTTCGTTGGATTAGATGTAATAACATCAGCAATGGTCATACCCGGCCGTGATTCGACCGCTAGTGTGAATCAGGTCTAAAAGGTATCCACGAATTCCGGAGACGAATTCACCCTGCGACCCGATCGTGTGTCACGTTTCGATCGCAATCCGCGCGGAAGGATTTTCTTGGTTGCCCGTGAACAATCGGCCACGGGTTGCCGTCCAGAACCTATTTCGGAATCGAAGCTCGTCTGGGAGTCTGGAATTCAGCTAGCTCCTGCACGGACAAGAACGACAGCAGGAAAGTCGATTGAAGGTGCAGTCACCTTTCCCGGCCGGGGTGACCGTGGAATTCCACAGGGTACACTCGGCCGGAAGAATAATCTTGTCGCGCAACGTTTGCATCTTTCCCAGCTCTCTGTTCCTGGCTCCTTCGTATCCGATCATGGAGCAGCTGAAAACCTTCTCCGAGCTCTAGTTCGCTGGCTTCAACGCGATTTCGATTACGAAATATCCAATAAGCCGAGAAATGTGCGGTAGAACCTCGATCATCCGGTTTGATTAGACGATTAACCCCTTGTAACAACGTGACAGAGTAATGAAGAGTTTAAAAAAAATTTGGCAAGGATGAATCTGTAGTACTCGATTCTTTTGAATTTGAATTAAATATCATTATTTTGTTAGTGATTGTTATACTTTAGAGCAAGTATGGAGATACGCCTACAGTTTTCTTTCTTTTTTCAATAAATTATTAATGGTAAAGTAATTGTATTGATTATTATTGAGCAATGCATCATAGGGCAAGGGGTTAACAACCCTGATGAATAGAGACTTGAAAAGATATTGTTCAATGTTTGCAAAATTAGATTGTGTATATTCTGAGATATAATCTGAGGATTCAAATTGTTGAGTTTGGGGCTATACGAGACTTCGATGATCTGGCTTGCGAAAAATATTGAGTATAATAATTGATTTGAATATTTTTGTACATGTTAGTTTACTGTTCCGTAGATTTTTTACTTCATATAGTGGCTATTTTTCAGTTTTGCCCTGTCTTGTTGGAGTTATTAGAGATTTATCTTTAAAGGAAAACGAAGGAGTGTAACTGAAGGAAATACATAAATGCAGAAATAATAAACCAAAATTTTGAGAATTACTGTTACATTTTATTATTGATAACTGAAAGAAAATCTGCGCTCTGTGTAACATGTCGATTGCCAAATTAGTACTTAATAAAATCCCATACAGTCAAAGGAAATTTCTTAGTAAAACAGAAACCGAAATGTTAAGATCTTTTTACGGCGACTGTCTTCTCAATTCTCTTTGTATCTCACAAATCCAACAAAATTAGGTTCGTTCGATATGTCACCGACAAAATTAACCTCAAAATTTCTACAAAAAATTGTATCACCAAAATGTCAATGCCAAAGTGTTAACATGACTGCTAGAATTTTTTTATCACCGCACCAATGGTTATTAAATCGATACACAGACAAATTTAGTGGTACCGTTTACTTGTTGGTGCGCGAAAACGTGTTTTTGCAATTGATTGCGAGTTTCGATGGTGTTAAGAGACGCCAGGTTCATTTACGGGTGAAAAAGTTAGCGCGCTTCGATCGTTGAAGGGTCGAATTCCTCGCGATAACAAGCGGTGCATCGAGTCACGTGTTTTTCTTTTTGAAAGCTCGCTACCGGAAACTCGGGCGAATTCAATCGATCCGTAAATTCTGTTACTGTATTCGTTATTAGTGAGTGGCGGGCCTGTGACGGCAAGACGGCCCGGTTAAATTTGCGTATCCTTATATCAAAGGAAGATATATTAGCTTCTCGATCTCGTGAAAAATATATACACGTCTTACAACGAAGGAAAACTCCCGTAAATCTTAAAGATAAAAATAATTATTTACAACTTTGAGATTATTGTATAGCAGATAATTTTTCCTATGCACGGCACTTCGTCGCCGCGACTTGGATATTAAATATTAAGTCCGATTCTCCCGAAACAGAGAAACATTTCGAGAATTTATTTACATATGGCATTGCTACCATAAAAGATGCATACAGTGTGTTTTATTAACGACCATTTCGCGTCTATAAGAAACCGATAACTTAAACACAATACGGACGATCAACGTTGCGCCGATTTGATATGAAAACGTCGCAGTTCTCAAAGCAATGTAATTATTAAACAGAACAGAGGTACTTCAATATTCTTGTCGTCTATTGAAATATTAGTTGCATGAAAAAATTCGTTCGATAATGTATGGTATTTTTGATTGTGACAGTTTGTATAAAACTTGATGGTTTGAAAGGAAATAATATATATATATCAAGTTTTCCTCGCATATTGGGGTCAATAATATTACTGGCGATAACTAGTTCAATAAAATAAATGAAAAATTATCAATTGCATTTTGTATAACTGTAGGCCACTTATTTTCGTAAATATTTGTCAAGTATAGATCCGTAGTAGCAAAATAATAATGTTAGAAACCTTACATTATAATAATGATCTTTCATCGTGTTTTTGTACATCATAATTCTATCCTTACGCGTAAAATAAAACTACCTTTATCTTCTTAAGAAAGAAAAGAAAATGATTATAAATATAATTCTATTAAGCGTCCATGAAACCTTCACTCCTAACCACTTAACTACATTATCAGCGCGTAATAGAAAAGAACCGCGTTTTTGAAAATTCCGAAAACCGCGTGAACGAAGAACAAAGTTAGCCTTACCGACGTTAGAAATAAAGTTCCATACGTATTACGAATACACGTTGTGAAATAAAGTACAAAAGGGGGGCTGGAATCCAACTGAGATTTCAACGATTATACACACGATTATAACGAATTAGACACGTTTATGAGAGAAGTGTGAGTCATTTCCGTGCTACACTTAAACTTCAAGCCCGGAATCGGTTTTCCACCGGGAGTACCCTTCAACGTGAAAAAGAGAAGAAAAGACAAAGGATCGTTATACGATTTCTGATTCATGAAGTACAGGAGAACATTCAATTAAGCGATTACTCGGCAGTCGACTCATTAAGATCGCTTTCGTGTCTGAAAACTCCTTCCACCCTTGTCACGTGGGTCGGCCGCCGAGGCGCCATCGAACTTGAGGTTGTCTCTTTCTGTCGCACTCGACAGTCTCGGCATAATTAATCGGTCGGCTACAATCCGCGCACGCTTCGAATGTACACCAGTTGACGTGAACCGGTGCTACGCGATCGTCGTATTACGGAACGTATTCAGAGTGAATCGCCGGTGTCATTAAATTGATAAAAATGTTCCCCATTACATGGCTGATTCGAGGGGTTCGATAATATATGATCATTTCATCGAATTTTCCATTTATTGCGCGAACTGTCGATACGCTGCAAGGACACGTGAAAATAGATTCAATTCCATGAAACTTAATTCTTCAAGAAGCGTCTGCACCACCGTTAATAAATATCTACCAGGGGAAGTCTTATTATACCAGCTGCATCGGACGTAAAAAATCTCGCAGGAAAAATGAAAACCAATGGTTTATTGTCACGTGGTTCAAAGCAACGCCGGAAAATGCGTAAGTTTCGTCGGCGATAATATCGAATAATTATTGTTATTAAGTACTCTGTTCAGAGATCGAGACGCGAGCACAAAGAAACCTACGAAACGTGTCGTTCGTAAATAATACAAATAAACGTAATTACATAAAGAAAACGGAAGTGTATCAATATAAATTCGCTGTACCAATGAATACGTCGTACATCGTTTTCACATGACAAAACGAAATACAATAATATCAAGTTATTGACAGAGCAACCCGAATACGATTCTCCGTACGTCCTTCCTGAACTCGTAATCGATGGCTGTTCGGTTCCAGTAATTATTGGACAGACCGGAACCAGCGGCGCGAGGAACGCTGAAGGCTCCGCCCTGTTCGAGACGCGATTCGATATAATTCCACTGCGTCGCGCTAGCGTGACGTTTTACAAACGACGCGTTTCCCTGTCCCGCGCGCTTAGACGTTCGGCTAACATTTTCGTAAGATCGCGGCGCACTTTTATCTCCGCCGCTTTCTTCCTCCGCTTTCCGAACTCCTCGTCGCCGGCGATGCTGCTTCAAAGTCGCCAAAGAGTGCGCGTCTTTGCGCGCGAGACGATCGGTTTGCTAGACGCGCCCGTTGTCCCCTTTGACGTGATTCCTGGAGAACGTCTCGCAACGTCGCAATCTTTTCCGATCCGTCCCGCTCGCTTCGCAAACTTCGTCCATTCGTTATGGAATTTCTGGAGCGTATATTACACACGTATCCAGACACAGAATGCAATATATCCGGGCCCGTCGAGACGCGAGAATGCTTTGTGACGATCCCCAGAGCCAGTAATCAATCGGTCCTCTCTCCACGCCGTAATATTCCGACTTTCTTTTCGTGTGTCCCATTCGACTCTCCTCGTGAGACGGTTCCCGTTCCCTCGTCGAAGCACCGTTCACGTTAAAGTACATCCGCAGATCGGTTCAACGACGGAACACAGTTCAAGGCGGAGTCGGGACGTACGATCCAAGATCTCGGTCCACTTTGAATCAGCGTTCCTCCCACCAAGGCCTCGTAAACAGGGTGATTGGAATGTACCAGTATCAGTAAATCGCCTGTCGGTATTGTTCACCAGTGCCAGTCCTAATCAGTCTTCAATTTGATTAATCAGTGTACCCTCCGAATCCTATCAGTATCACTCGCTAATCGTACGCTCGGACGCTTCTTCGGCGTCCCGCGTGTAACGCGCCGCCATTTCAGCTCGGTCGCCCGACGGTGCTCTAGTTCAACGTTCGGATTCAGTCTTCGTTTCAATTCACTCGGCCTGTCTGCACTCGACCATCCTCCAAACGAGAGTTCACCCGGCGACACTTAAGCGCGATACGAGCCGATCTCGCCCATGTCCATCCCATCGTGCATCTCCATTTCCATCTCCATCTGGGGGTCCCGATGCTTCTCGGATCGGTGAGGGACGGATTGGACGCCAACATCTCGATCGCGGCTTCGCTCGCGGTTAGACGATCTTTCCTTCTCGCGCGGGAAGTGGTGATACTGGTGGGTCGCGTGGCCGTTCATGGGCAGCGTGGGGTAAGAGGACTGTCCGCAGGAGGCTTGGTGTCTCGAGGGCAGCGGCGGCGGGTGCTGGTGGCCGGCGGGTACACCGTTTTGCACCCTCGAGTCGTTCTGCTCCCGTTCGATGGAGTTCTCGCGGGTTGGCAGGTGAGGCGGCTGAGGGGTGCGCCGCAGAGAATGGTTGGAGTAATGCAATCGGCCGCCGGTAGACGAGCAATTATCGGCAGCGATGCTCAACGGCGTCGAGCCGTCCTCCATCGGACCGACTGAACGGTGACCGGACGCACCGGAATTGGGCAGCGTTCCCGGACGGCGCATCTGTCGCGCCGTCTCCCCATCGATGTAGGTGAAGCCTTCGGCTAGGGTAGTGCTGCCGTGCGGCAGGAACCAAACGCCTCCGACCCCAGGGCTCGCTGCCCGAAGTTCTAGCTACAGTTCCGTCACTGGTATAGGCTTGATGCTGGTCGAGATTTGCGAGTGTTGTTGCTGCTGTTGCTGTTGCAGCTGCTGTTGCTGTTGTTGGAGATGATGGTGGTGATGGTGTGGCGGCATCTGTTGATTCTGGGGCTGATGGTGATGATGGTGGTGGTGCGGATGCGCAGCTCGAACGATGTACTCGTCATCGGAGAAGGTTTTCTGGTACTCGTGCTCTTTGCTCGAACGGTTCTTCCATTTGTAGTTTAACGCGTCCCTGACGCGCCTGCGACATCTGTAGTAGAGAATCAACGCTAAGCCGGTGAGCAGCGCGAGGCCTGCCGCGCATAGTGTAGCTAGCAAAGCTTGCTTCCTCGGATCGGAAAATGCACAGGCCAGTTCATCCGGTGTCATGCCCTTTATGGGTTTGCCTTTTGATTCCGGTGGTTCCGCGCATATCACCGGGCTCGAGTTCCTCGGGGCGAGGACCTCTGACAACCAGAGCAGGCCACAGTCGCAGATAAAGGGGTTCTCGCTTAGATCCAAACGGCGCAGCTCGTTCCAGGCCACCAGGGATTCCGAGAATCCCGTGAATGCGTTGTCGCGCAGCATTAAGTGTCTCAAGTTTGGTAATCCTGCTAGGGAACCGTCCTCCATCGTTGTCAGTCGCTTGTTACTATTCAGCACGAGAGTCTCCAAGTTAGCGTTATCCGAAAATGCGCCTCGTTCCACGGTGGTTAACAACTTTGCCGCTGATATGTCCAGCTTCTTCAGCTTGGGCAGACCCTGGAACGCGCCTGACCTCAGGCTTGTGAAGTAGTTCTGACCCAGGGTGAGCTCTTCCAGCCGAGGTAGCACCGCTAATTGTTTCGTAGGCACTTCTCGCAGTTTGTTTCCGTCGAGACTCAACGTACGCAAAGCGTTCAATCCGCGAAAAGCGCCGTCGCTGATTTCGTCCAAGCCCGCGCCAGTTATATCCAGCACTGTCAATTGTGCCAATCCCTTGAAAGCATCATCCGGTAACGAGGAGAACGCGTTCCAGCCTATATGCAACTCGGCTAAAGCGTTCAACGGTTCCAACGCAGGCGACGGGATAGTTCTCAGTTGGTTATCATCGAGGTGCAACACTCTAAGGGTGCCCAGTTTCTGAAAAGCGCCTGGTTCAACCTTCGATATTCGATTCTTTCCTAGATCAAGCTCTTCCAACTTAGAAAGCGACGCGAACAGACCGTCTTTAAGGTTTTCTAGGTAATTGTCACGCAGGTTCAGTACTGTGAGGGATTTCAGGCCTTGGAACGTTTTCTCGGTCAATGCAGAGATCTTGTTGTGTCTGAGGTGGAGTTCCACCAGTTGCTTCTGCGCCACGAAGCTCCCGTTGGGAATGGTGAGAAGGTGGTTGCTTGACAAATCAACATTCTTCAGATCAGCGTAGAATTGAAAGGTTCCTGCGTCCACGACTTTTATCCGGTTCTCCTTCAGGACTAACCGCTGGATGCTTGGGTTCAGGGCGATCGGTATCACGTCCAGATTCGCTCCTATGCAGGACACCACCAGGTTGTCGTCGTCGCAGGTGCAACCGTTTGGACAGAATACGGCCGATCCGAGGGCGAACATGCCGGCCAGGATGAGCAGATGGTAGACCGTGGTTATGGCTGTACCGTGCCGCGGCGTCTGGAAATATAATAAGCACAGAACTCTTTATTAAGGGGGCTCCCTGTGCGCGGCTTATCACGAAACGTAATTTACATTAATGCTAGGTTTATTGCCATACATAAATTATTTTCTGAGGAGACTGTGGACCACATTCGTGACCGGCGAAAATGAGAAAAGTTGCCACTGCTTTGGGAGATTGAATGGTTGACAAAATTTCTGCTCGCCGGTGATTTTAAGCGAGTAGCTGGTTGGGTGGTTTAATAACTTTCTTGGATTTTACTGTGTTTTGCGAAAGCGTTGAGACAGAAAGAGCGTAAGTACTTTTCAAGAAACTGAAATGCGTGTGAATTAATTGAATTTTGAAAATTGTGTTTAATACCATTTCAGACAGACAAATATTCACGGTAATACAACTGAAACTACAAGTAAACAAAAATATTCAATCACATGGTTGACAAAAAATGAAGATTGCTTGATACATTTGAAGTTTGAAGTTCTAATACATTCGAAGTTAATTTGAGATATTCGAAAGAAATTCCGCCTCTAAATTGTAAATGTCATAAAAATTACTGTTATATTCAATTAATTATATGAACTTCTTTATTTCTTTGTCAATTTCATTTGTTCCGAGTGCGAAACACTGACTTGAGTATTAACACATTTATTACCATCATTTATTTCGATAACAGTCTTTGCAATTACAATGTTTTATTAAATAATTGAAATATATAGAAAAAGAGAGTTATGAGTGTCTCAAATATGACACTACGCATGATAATTTTCAATAAAAACCCACACAAAATTAATTTGACTTTATTCGTGCAAAATACGAGACCATGCTTCTGACAGATATGTGACGCTGATGTTTAATGAAGTATCTGTAACGCGTTACAATTTACCTGTTTGCTTCAAGTATTTATGAAACATGCATACAAATATTGTTTTCAACAAATAACGAAACGATTTTTAAACCGGAAACGATGGAAAAATGATTACAAAAAAAAAGGAATTGATTCATTTAATAACTGCGTTAAACTGTTCCTAGGAGTATATAAACTGTATATCTTAATATCCAAAATAAATACAGAAATTGATATGTTTCAAACTGTCACTCTTCAAATTATCTTAATATTTCAATGAAAAACATTTTACTATGCATATATAAGGGTTTAAAAAAAGAGTTAAAAGAAGAGTAAAATTCAGTAACGTTAGAATTGAAAGGCACTCTTTGTAAAGGATCTATTAATCTTCTAGTGCACAAATATCCAAGAATTTCGAATTAACCATTAATTTTTTAAGATAAAACTGTTATCTCTTAAAAGCTTGACAAGCAGTATCCATAATACTATATACATATAACAAAAACTAAATGAAAATCTAAATTGTGACACAGATGATTTATCATATAATAAAGGATTAACCATAAGTTATCATTTTTAATGTATGGTATCGTGGTTATTACCATACCATATTCATTGGCAAATTCACCAGTCTGTCAGAAATTAAAATGATATTATTCACACTTATTAAAAAATAAGATTTGTATAGAAAATTGTAAAAAAGCTTAATATTATACGAGAAGAGGAAAAGTGATTAAATAAATACAATTTATTATAAATTTAAGGATGGTTAGAATAAATAGAAGAGGGATAAGGGAGATAAGGGGTTAAATGTGGAACTGCTGTATTTTCTGTTTACAAACTCAATAAACTTTTCAACTCGATTTCCTTATAAACGAGGCTTAAAGGGATGCAATCTTATTCTTTATTTTCGACTTATATTTCCACGGATTTCAAATTCGATTTCCTCGGAAACGAGACCTCGAGCGAAAAATTCTCTCCTTTATTTTTCGCGTATTTCTCCTTACGGAATCGCACCTTAAGAATGCTCGTTTTTGCCGTACCCTGCATAAGTACTAAAAAGGCGAGGCGCATTTTATTTCTCTAGAATGCAAACAACTAATCCTCTGTCTTCTAATATGGTGTCAGACTCGTGACGAATATTTCAAACAAAGGTTAGCAAATATTACTACCATTATATTCAATTTAATTGGAATTAAATATTATTTTTGTATTATCAGAATATACAACAGATACAGTAGATAAAATATTCGCGTGTTAAAAAATATATAATAAAGACAACAACCGCTACTATTAACTGACACTGACGTCAAGTATTGAATCGTTAATTTTAGAGACGTGTTTGCATCAATTCACAATATCCTGTCAAATGTCAAAACATCAAGTAGTTTGCATTATTATTTACTGTTTATTCTTCTCTAATTCACAATTGTTACATTATATTTATACTTCTTGTGTGTTAATATTTATATTTGTCATATTAGTTTTGTCCTATATTCATATTCGTTCAGTTTCGTTATTTAATAACGTTTTTAATAAACAACTATAATAAAAAGATCAATCTCGAAGAAGTATATTTAATATCGTAAGTAAGAAAGTAATAGTGTAAAAGAACAAATAAAAGAATAAATAACGTTACAAAAAACGTACAAATTGCTCATGATAATGAACGTATAAAGAATAAAACAGTTCTAGCGATCGCAGTTGCGAAAGAAATCATACTGCAAAGGGTCAGTAATTGTTTCTAATACCGTCTATCTTTGCTATAGAACAACAAGTAACATTACAGAAAACGTTCAAATTTCTCGCGGCAATCAATGTGTAAAGAATAAAACGGATATAGCGATCGTAGTTGCGAAAGAAATCATGACGCAGAGGGTTAATCCAAAGTCGAAACGCGTGCCGCGTGCGGGTGCACGCGTTGGGGTGGGGATCTTCCTCGCCGGGCGATGATTGCGGCGTGTCAGCTGCGCTAAAGCTAAAAACGGGCACGTCATTACGAAAGGATTATGCGCCACCGCAATACCGAAGTTACCCGCCGAGGTCGGTCTCACGCTTGACCCCGTTGCGCGTTTTCCATTTCAACCGTATTACGAGATCCAAGCCGGGATTTAATGAATCAAGGTCCTCCGAATGCACTCTGATATTATTTATTCGAGCATGTTCGCGTATTTACCGGCAGCACGCACAGCCCTCACCCGGCAAATTGCTCGCTGCGAGCGTGCGCGCGCGCGCTAAATAAATTCCCGACACGAGTGCGGTAAACTAAGCTCGATTACCGGAAGCCCGAACGCCGCATCTAAATGTTCCGGCATTTTTAGAACCGCAGCTGCTCGCTTTTGTTTTCCAGCTGTTTCCCGCAACCGCCGTTTTTCTTCCTTATTTCTGGATCGCCGATCTGTTACGTTACGCGATGTCTTATTTATCGTCAGAGATTTGTCCCCTCAACCGTGCAGATACAATGTTTATCTTGACTGCGTGCGTAGCCCATTCCTGCTGTACAGGTTTTTCTCTGTTTTCAGGGACAATATGTTTGTTGACACTAGAACGACCGCACCCGTCAAAGTGATGGGTTCCCGTGTTTTTAATTATTTGTGTCTTACAAGTGATGTGTATCCGAAATGAGTTTAAAGATAGTTTCACTTTAATGCTATAACAAATGTGTGAAGGTACCGAAAACAATCTATTGTTACAATTTTTCCTTTACTTGGGTACGGATGGCGCGTCTTCGCGTTATCGATATCTTCGTATATTTGTCCTAATATAAATTTGTGGGACTTTATCGCTGCTCTCGATTTCTCTTCAATAATATTGTGATAGGTTTTCCCTTCATTCATTCATTTTTATATGTTACTGTAAGAAGAATAGTAAATTTTTATTTTCCAACGAATAATAAAAAGTTTGTGAACCTCTGACGTTTACACTTTAAGAAGTATACATTTTCACGCAAAAAAGTTAAACGTGCTGAATCACAACGAATCGTACTCTCATTCTCTTCACTTTTTAACCTTTTGCAGGTCTTAAACAGAATTTGACAAGCACAAATATTGGTTAATTCTTGTGAATTCAATTGAAATATTATTATTCTGTTATCACTTGTTATACTTCAAAGCACATATCGACATACAGTACGCCTAGGAGTCTTCTCTTTTTTTTTCAATCAACTATTTATGACAATGCAGTTATATCGATCATGCTTCACAAATAAATAGTAGGCTAAGGGGTTAATATCATAATTTATGTGTAGATCCGAATATTGATCCTATTTTATATTCTTTTAATGATTTTGTGCACAGTGAAGATGTATAAATATTATTATCATTATAATCATATGTACTATTGTTATTACATACGCAATTTCTTTTTTCATTATTAGATTAGCGAATACAATATAATATTCTACGCGTTAATTTGTTGACAAACTGAATAAAAATTGTTTATATACTATATTTTTCATTTTTATTAATATAGAGTGTAATGTAAATAATATAATGTCCAAGAGGATTAGAAATTCGGTTTTACTTGCGTTCGACCAAAATTTTGCTATGTTAATGTATTATAATATAATTTTCTATACCCGTTGCGTTAACATCATGTAAGTGGTAGAATATTATGAAAGCCAAAGAGGGAGAGAAATAAATGGCATAAAAAAAGAGACGAAAGGAGGAATAAAACTAATAAAAGTAGCAACACAGCAAGGTAAATTAGCGAGAGAGAAAAATAAAATTGAAAAAGCGAACGAGAATAAAAAAGACCAGACATTCTCGAGAAAAAAGACATAGCACCAAATCTAAAAATAAAGTTTAAAAATTGAGTTAGGCAGGAGGTGTTTAATGGAGTTGCATTATTATAAATTTATGCATAAGAAATGTACAAAATTATAAATCATATATTATGTATGATAAATCATTCATTTGTCAGATATTCTATGAAACGAAGCATATTATTATTTATGCTATATAGTTGTCCTATATATACCATTCTATATTCATAATTTATGATTGGAACTAGCATTAAATATAACTTGAACAGGAGTGCAAGGCGTCAGGAGTGGTTAAAAATGTATTATTTACTATTTTCTAATTTGTTTAATAATTTTTTTACCTAACAGCAACTTGTATATTATATAAAACTAAAGATATTACATAATTTACAGAT